AAAAGGGACACCGAATCTTTGAGGCTAGAAAAGGCAGGGAGTCCAGTATGCAGACCAGAACTAAGCCTGTGGTTTAGGGGTTTCACCATGGCTCCCAAGTCCTTTGCATTTTCTCCAACTCTTCAGCCAAGTTTGGTGCATTAAAAGATAAAAGGTAGTGAGAATTCTGAGGAAAACTCATCTCAAACATACTGAGGCATGAATGTGGAGGACCAGAGAAGGTTTAGTATCAGAAGGACTCCAGCTGTGAGGTCCAAGCCTCACTCCTTCAACAAGAGGGGAAAACTCAGATTTTGAGCACCTTATACTAACGTGATTATGGTTTTAGAAAATTTGCATTTGGTAGTAACTGCACATCACACTTCCTGGCTTCTCCCTTCTCCCTGCATTACCAAGATTCCGGAATCACTTCACTTCTAACAAGGAGCTTAGTGTGATGTGTCCGTTAGATTTTGTTTGCCACAAAATGTATTTGGTCTTAATTTTTCAAAGACTATTTTCATTGAATATAAACTGTAGTCTCATAATTATCTCCAGTTTAAAATGTCCATTCCATAGTCTTCAGGCTGCCATCATTCCTGCGTTAGGCCCTTTAAAGGAATCGCAGGTGATTTTGTTTTTCCCTCTCCTTCTTTGTTTTATGGAATTTAACCATTGTGTCTCAAGGTGCAATAATATTTGGCTTGGGGCTCAATCTATGGTTTCTTGAACGTGTGAGTTTTTGTCAGATTTGGAAAAAATCTGAACAGCATTTCTTCAATTTTTTTTTTCTCTCCCCCTTCCTTCCTTACTCTGGAAATCAGGTTACACACATGTACACCAAGGTTTGTACTCCTCTTCTGATCTCTGTTCTGTAGTCCTATTCTTTGTGCTCTATTCTGTAGATTTCTCTTGACTTGTAATTCAATTTACAAATGCCCTTCTCTACAGTTTCTAATATGCTATTAAACACCTCAACTGGATTATTAATGATAGATCTAGGATCTCCTGGTTCCATTTTCTAGATTCTAATTCTCTGGTAAAATTTTCCACCTTGCTATCTCATCTCCTAAACCTATTAAAGTATTTGAGGCCTATAATATCTGTTTTGCCTATAGGCCTGACTCCTAGGATGTCATTGTTCAAGATTTATTATTTTAGAGCAAGAGAGTGAGTGCACAGAGAGAGGGAGAGAGGAAGGAGAGGGAGAGAGAGACTCTTAAGCAGGCACCATACTCAGCAGGGAGCCTGACATGGGGCTCGATCTCACAACCCCGGGATCATGACTAGAGCAGAAATCAAGAGTCAGACATTCAATCAACTGAGCCATCCAGGCATGCCATAGGATGTTATTGTTCTTGATGGCAGGACAAGAAAAGTGAGACCCGATCTGATCATCCTGCAGTCCACAGTCACAACTACAGCAGCTCACTCAGACGCACTCTGAGATGGAATGGTTTTGTGACTGTCTGCCCATTTTTGGGGTCACAGGCTACTCGAAGCAGAGCCCTGAGGAGTTTCTGTGGGAGCTTGCGGTTCCAACCAGAGTACCTAACTTTGCTGTGCTTGGGGCCGAGCTTCTTAGCTGCCATTTTCCTTTCTGTTTCTTGGTCATTCGCCCCTCAGCAGCTTAGAAATTGGCAATTTTTGAAAGGAAATTCCACACAGAATGCCAGGTTTTGTATTTGGTAATCTCCTTTTCTCCAGGGTCTTGTCCCCCTAAGTCCTGTGTTGACCAGTTTCCAACGCCCTCAAGTATTTGGGGGTTTTGTGCATTTAATCCAGTTATTTTGCTTGTTCTTGATCAGAAAATAGGTCTGGTACAAACTACTATGATACAGGTGAATGCAGAAATACTCGCCTTGTCTTAAATATTGATTTCAATGAGGTCAGGAGCCAATGGTCTTGTTTATAATTAGGTCACCAGCTATTGTCTTTGAGTCCACATGTGACCTCCGTCCCATGTGCCTGAACTTGCTCATTTTACACCTTTTATACAGAGAAGACTTCATTTCTTTCTTATGGTTACTTTACTGCATTTCAGTTTATATTTTATTTATATATTCTCTATATTCATAATTTACATTTTATTATACGTAGGTAGATTTTTGAGAGAGAGAGAGAGAAAGCACAAGCAGGGGGAGGGTCAGAGGCAGAGGGAGAAACAGACTCTGTGCTCAGCAGGGAGACCAATGTGGGACTCGATCCCAGGTCCCTGAGATCATGACCTGAGCTGAAGGCAGACACTTCACCCACTGAGTCACCCATGTGCCCCTATATGTAGATAGATTTAAAAGCAATGTTTAAAGTCTTATGAAAAAAGCAGTTAACTTTCTACTCACCATATACTCCACCCCTCCCCCACCCCAATTATTTTCCTTTTACAGGAAAGTCCCTTCATTTTTGAGTCATATCTATTGTTACTTGTCCCCATGTTCCTAAGTAAAATACTCATGCTATTTGGACAAAGATAGCAATGAGATGACTAGAGATGTGCTTATAAATGCAGATATAAGTCAATATATGTTTGTATTTTAAATTTCCAGCTGTCACATCCATCGGGAAAGTTTAATCTTTCCCTGAATCAGAGAGATGAATATAAAGAAACCCAGTGTAACTGCAACATTACAGTTATTATGCCAGAACAAGGCTGATCTCAGTACGATAAACCTTGCAGCATCTGCAGACTGATCTTTTCAAAGCGGCTGCAGTCTGTGGGGACACGACATACACAGCCCTCTGACCTTCCGTCCTCCACTGCTGTAATCCGCATCAAACCCCAAGCATCTTTTGTAAATCCTGCCTATTGGCCCAGTTTGTTCTTTCACACCTCCTATAACCCAGGACTGAAAGTAGATGTGGGATTGACCGTGTGTCACCACCTCACCATTGGGTCATTATGCCTCCACTCCTTCGCAAAAGTTTCGAAACTAAGCCAGCAAAACATCTGCTGTTCTATGCTTCTTCATTCTTTTGGACACTGACACAGACTCAGGAAAGTTTTCATCTGGAAGACCCGAGTGAGCTCCTCTCTATCCCAATTAGTCTGAGAAGTGTTTTATTTTTATAAATACAATGTTAACTCTAGAAAAACAGGTACCTTGTCATTTTTACCACCATATCCTCAACGCTTGGTGTAGTGTCTTTCACAGAATAGGACTAAGTAAATATTTCTCAGTGAGTGGGTACAAATTGGTATAAACCATCCATTCAGTAGGACCAGAAGGCCTGCCAGTGTCCTTACATAACTGTCCTCCTGCTCCTTCTTTTCCCCTCCCTCTTAGATTTCTGCGTATTTTCTCTGGGTCCCTTCCATTCTCCCCCTCTGTAAGTACCCCTTCCTTCTGCATCCATGCACACTGAAGTTTTTGGTCTTAAAAATCAAAACCAAATAAAACCAACCCTTGAGAGCCCAAACTTCATGTCAGTTGCTCTGTCTCACACCTGCACACCTTCAAGAGGTATCTGCACATCCTAAAACCCTCTGTACCTTCCACCTACCCTGCCCCCTTGAAATTGATATACACAAAAGTGCAAAATATTCTGAATTCTTGTCAGTGAAGTCCTGAAGGAGGTGTATAGGAGTGGATACTGCGAGTGTGAAATCTTAGGAGGAAAGAGTTTAGATTAGGCCAAAATCACTTACAGAAATGGTGTTCAGAAGATCCCAGTTACAGCCAATGACTGAACTGCTTGAGTTTCTGGATTCTGGCTCCACTGACCCAGCGGAAGCTGTAGTCACCGGTACCCAGAGCTAAGTTAACCTGAGATGCTTGAATTTGCTCTCAAGGGCAGAAAGTGACCCAAAGACTTAGATAGAATTACTTCATTATTTGTGATCAGTAAATTCATCTCTGGTTCCCCAAAGGGTCCAGGATTTACTTCTTTTATGAAAACCTTGAGAAGTATTTTTTGAAGAGAGTTGCATTATCCTTGAAAAATACTTTAGTTGCTCTTCAGTGAAGGTAGGAGACACAGGTGAGGCATGCTCCAGCTGAAATGGGTTTTCTGATTGAAAAGAGGATACCAAAATCATGGGTTCTATTTAATTAGTAGAGAGCAGGCAGCATGTTTATACCAATGGAACAGGAGGGGCATACAGAGTCTGACACAGTAATGCACTAGAAGAGATAGGCATTGTGAAATTCCTACTTGATTTTTACACCTCAAAACATTGGGGTGTTATGCGTTTGACTGGAGAAATGGTCATTCATCTGATTTCCAGCTCTAAGTCTCATCAGAGGTCAAACCCCATTAACATAGAGACAGTGCTTATTTGGACAGGGATGTTGGGGATACTGCACTAACACCAGGAATGTTCAGGTCTTTACATCTGTGTCCCCTTACCTGGGCTACTGCACACTGGACACGTAATAGCTATATGGTCACCTAGCACACAACATATCAAAAATACCAAATATGTGATCCTTACAGAGAAACCATCAGCATCTCAAGTATGGTGCACCCAGACTTTAAAATACCCTGAGAGCTTACTGGGTATTTACCCCAAAGATACAAAAGTAGGGATCCGAAGGGGTATGTGCACCCCGATGTTTATAGCAGCAATGTCCACAATAGCCAAACTGTGGAAAGAGCCAAGATGTCCATCGACAGATGAATGGATAAAGAAGATGTGGTATATATATACAATGGAATATTATGCAGCCATCAAAAGGAATGAGATCTTGCCATTTGCAACGACGTGGATGGAACTGGAGGGTATTATGTTGAGTGAAATAAGTCAAACAGAGAAAGACATGTATCATATGATCTCACTGATATGAGGAATTCTTAATTGTAGGAAACAAACTGAGGGTTCTAGAGGGGAGGGGGGTGGGAGGATGGGTTAGCCTGGTAGTGGGTATTGAGGAGGGCACATTCTGCATGGAGCACTGGGTGTTATGCACAAACAATGAATCATGGAACACTTCATCTAAAACTAATGATGTAATGTATGGGGATTAACATAAGAATAAAAAAAAAAAAATACCCTGAGTGCTAGCTATAGGAGATACCTTAGTTCCATCCAGTCAGGTGGCTCATGGTCTTTCTCACTGCAGATGCACTCATTTCCTTGACCAACCCATGGCTATTGTGCAGTCGGGGAGTTTCTGAATGGTGTCAGTGAACGGAAGGGCTGCCATCTTCACGTCATTGATCTGTAAAACAAAGATTAACTTGATATCAAATTAAAAGTGAACGTCCCTTCACCTCTAAAGCAAAAATAAACAAGTCAAAGCTATAATACAGTCCTGGAGAAACCGTAAAGATCAGGATCATCAAAAAAAAGTCTTAAAAACAGCAGATTTAGTGACACATTTAACTAAACACCTTGGCATGTTTAATAAAATAGATTAATCAGGGCGCCTGGGTGGCTCAGTTGGTTAAGCGACTGCCTTCGGCTCAGGTCATGATCCTGGAGTCCCGGGATCAAGTCCCGCATCGGGCTCCCTGCTCAGCGGGGAGTCTGCTTCTCCCTCTGACCCTCCTCCCTCTCATGCTGTCTTTCATTCTCTCTCTCTCAAATAAAATCTTTAAAAAAAAAAATTAAAAAAATAAAAATAAAAATAAAATAGATTAATCAATTGGCTACTTCAATTGCATCTAATGTTCCAGTTTTACATTATTTATTGGAAGCCCTGGAATGTGGTAAGCAGCTGTTTATGAGGCCAATACTTTTGGTGTTTTTCCATTCCAATAAGCGTGAAACCCTCAGATGTTACATCAGATCTCTGGCTCTGTGTCGTAATTAATTCCAAGGGGATGTGAATGGTTCTACCAGTCCACAGGGCATACTGGCAGTCTCCTGTGTTGACAATAGCATGCTGACATCACCTGGAAAAAAGTCGCAGTTTTCCTAGATGCCTTGATGATAAACGTGTGTTCCAGAGAAGAAGAAGTAAATTCCATTAAAACAAAAGCTCTTACAACCTCTAATTTCTAAAGTCTACTTGTATGGGACAAGTTGTCAAATCTTTTGTTTCTAACCACTAAGGAAATGAGTCACTGTGCCACCTGTAAGGAAGGCTCAGAGCAAAACAGTCCCTTGTTTTTGTCAATTCAGGCTACTAAAATAATCTTATAGACAGGCCACCTTAAGCAAGATACTTAGTTCTCATAGTTCTGGAGGCTCAAAGTCCAAAAGCGAGGTGTCGGCACGCTTTTGATTACGGTTAGGCAATCACCTCAAAGACCTTTCTTGGTTCACATAAGGGCACACATACATACAGTTCAGGTCTCTTCCATTTTTATAGCAGTATTAACTCCATCATGGGGACTGATCCTCATGACCTAACTGAACCCTACTCACCTCCCAAAGGCCCCCGTCTCCATTACCTTCACACTGGGAGATAGGTTTTAACATATGAATTTAAGGAGGACACAAATACTCGGTCCATAGCAGCCCTACTGCTGGTGTTGTCTACACACCAAGTTTGCAAACTGGACATCGTAGTTCAGTGCATCCAATCATACTACAGATTTCTGTGATAATTTATGGGGCTTCTGGAAAGACCTATGTGGATCACTTGGAGACCCTAGGCATCATACAGTCTTGTTTACTGATGACCAAGCTCGTGTTGATAACCAAGCCTCAGCTTGCTACCGGACACGAGGAGAGAGGGTACCAGGTAATCGCGTAATCAGACGGCACATCATAAATCAAGTGCTTGCTCGTCATAAACAAATATAAGCAGTATACATAGGAATGTTTCTAAATAGATCCCAAGAGCACAAGCGAACTGCCTGAGTAGATTCTTTGCATTACCAACACGCCTGTTTTTGCCATGTTACTGTATGTCACTCAGTACATTGCTGCAGCTTCCATCTTCTTTCCAGTGAGCATGTTTTTGCCCACTCAGGGGGCAAAAATACTTCATTTATAGGTGATTTTGTTCAGACTGTGAGTGACACTCTGTCATTGCTGTTGCAGACAAGGTGGCTTAAATAGAGCCATCTGTATATAGTTGTTAATTTTGACTGAAGGAGAGATCAGTGATTTATGAAAAGGTATTAATGTCTTGGCTAGACATCCAGAGCCTCGGAAGGAATGATATTTAAGGAATGGGAAAATGGCAGCAAGAAAGCTTGGTAAAGTCACAGGAGATGGAGAATGGACCGAGATTCTTTGACTATCTGTGCCCACACTCACACACACAAAAGGCATCACCCCCTATTTTTGCTGCTGGTTTGTCTCTCCCCCCAGCCAGCTCAGTGCTGTCCAGTGGGTCCATGACCAGAGACCTCACTTGGCCTGGGCAAAGGCCATGCATTCAGGCAGCAGCATGGGTCTCTACTCATCACACATCAAAGGAGTCCTGCATTGGTGTGGAAGGTGGACACTGGGCAGCTTCCCAGCTATCAGTAAAGTGTTATCTCAACTCTTATTTGGCTTTATTCCTTACATGCAAACTGCTTTAATTGGATAAAAAAGAAGAAAAAAAGTGGTAGTAGCATCAGAATATTCCCTCAAATCCAAGCACTTTTGGTGCCTAATGTGAGATAAAAGATAAAAGATGGGATCTGGCATGTAAGCAAAAACTACCATTTTGTGACATGGAGACCCCCAAGTCGGCTACAGTTAGTTTTTACAGCTAATTTTAGAAAACTATCTACAGTTGCTACTGGCTTTACTAGGAAATCAGTGCTTTAGACTGTGGCAGCACATTTGAATTCCTGAGAAATCTGAAGGAAAAAAAAAAAAATCACCACCGCCAGGCTCCAACCCTTGACATCCAAGCTTCAGATCCATGAAAGAACTAGTCTTTGCCAAGTCTTCCCTTGGATGTTGCATGATCACATCAACCTAAATATGTATTTATGACTCAACTTGACAACTCCCACTTGAAATTTTCAACTTCTAAATCTAATGAGTCACCAGATTCCCCTTACGTCTGTTTATCTCAACCTTCATTTTGCTGCCTCCTCCTAAACCACTAGGACATAACCCTCCAGCTGCCTGCACTCACACACAGATTCCTAATGCACAGCGCAAAGTAGTCTCACAAAGGAAATACTGTGACTACAGTCCTCTGCCTGGAGCTCCTGGTTTCCTGTTGCCCCTACAGGTGAGACCAAAGTCCTCAGGACTTCTACAAAGTGCTTCTCCTGTCTTTCAGCAGCCCACATGAGATCAAGACTGTCCATTACATATTCTGATAACCCACTGTATCACTCCTTATAACTCAATTAGTTTGCTTTTGTGCTTATTATCATTGCATAACTAAATGATGTAATGCCTGAACCAAATCAGACTTAGTAATTGCTGCATTCCTTGTACCTAAGCAGGTTGCAGAATAGAACACATGAATAAATACAGGTAAAGACGATTAAGCAAAGGATAGTCTAAGAAGAAATTCAAAGGTAAAGCACTTTAACTTTTATAGTTTTGTTCAATTTAGTTGTCTAAATACTTAATTCAATGAAAGTTATAATGGAAATAGAGAAGATATATTAGAAAAAGCAAATAAATGGTTTTATCTGAATAGCAATATTTATCTAAGATTAAGGAACAGAAAAAATTAGCCCCTGACAATTAAAATACAATGATTGTTCTAATGAACATTTTTAACTCTTTGAATGATTTTTGATACTTGCTATGCTCTCAATTATCTTCTAGAGTTTGTAGACCTAATTAAATATCCCCATCTGGCATATGTTGAAACAGATATTTGTTCTTCTACAGAAGGATTTTTTTTTTCCAAAACCAATGGTATTTTTCCAAATCCAAGAGTTTATAAATCCAGTTGAATTATTAGAAGGGATGAGATGAAGCTCATATTTCTGGAACAATTAAGTGCGACAGATGTACCAGGTATTTGGGTTGTGTTACATTTAGTCTTCACACTGGTTCTGAGGACGTTTATCCCTAAACAAGGATATGAAGACTCAGCATGCATGAATCTTATCCAAGTATGCAGAGTTAATGTGGCACGTGGCAAAATCTCCACTTGAGGCCATGTCTGAGGACTCCTGAAACCATGATTTTCTCAAAAGTGTAATGCCTCTGCCATTATACCCTGCCTGCAAGAAATTGCTAACACTGCAATGTAACTTCAAGGCACACTGCCTTATGACCTATCAAGTATTTCCTTGATTTTTGTGTGTGCATGCATGCAAGTAATTGCTCTTTTGTTAAAAAATATCATCCTTAATGGGGAAAAACAGAGCTTTCCCTCCTAAGTTCAGGAACAAGATGAGGATGTCCACACTCACCATTTTTATTCAACATAGTACTAGAAATCCTAGCCACAACAATCACACAACAAAAAAGAAAAGGTCCAAATCAGTAAGGAAGAAGAAAAACTTTCACTATTTGCAGATGACATGATACTACATGCAGAAAGCCCAAAGATGCCACCAAAAAAACTGCTAGAACTGGTAAATGAATTCGGTAAAGTTGCAGGATACAAAAATCAATGTACAGAAATCTTTTGCATTTCTCTACACCAGTAATGAAGTGGCAGAAAGAGAAATTAATCCCATTTACAATTGCATCTTTTTTTTTTAAAAAGATTTTATTTATTTATTTGACAGAGAGAGACACAGTGAGAGAGGGAACACAAGCAGTGGGAGTGAGAGAGGGAGAAGCAGGCTTCCTGCAGAGCACGGAGCCCGATGTGGGGCTCGATCCCAGGACCGTGGGATCATGACCTGAGCCGAAGGCAGACGCTTAACGACTGAGCCACCCAGGCACCCCTACAATTGCATCTTAAGTAATAAGATACCTAGGAATAAACCTAACCAAAGAGGTGAAAGACCTGTACTCTGAGGAAACTATAAAACACTGATGAAAGGAATTGTAGATGACCAAAAGAAATGGAAAAAACATTCCATGCTCATGGATTGGAATATTGTTAAATTGTCTATACTACCCCCCAAAATCTATACATTTAATGCAATCCCTATCAAAATACCAATAGCATTTCTCACAGAACTAAAACAAACAATCCTGAAATTTGTATGGAACCACAAAAGACCCTGAACAGCCAAAGCAATCTTGAAAAAGAAAAAGCAAAGCTGGAAGCACTGGAATTCCAGACTTCAAATTATATTACAAAGCTGTAGTGATAGAAACAGTATGGTATGGGCACAAAAACACATACATCAGTGGAACAGCATAGAAAATCCAGATATGGACCCACAACTACATGGTCAATCT